AATATAATTATGACACCTCAACTTCCCTGTCTGAAACCATCCAATGGCTTCCCAGCCCATATCCTACAAGGTTTTGCAGAGTCCAGCCCGACTAATCTCACACAATTCTACTCTTGCTCTCTGCTCTTTTGCCACACTGGCTTCCCTTCAGTCCCTCACATTACAGGGTTTTTTCCCTCGGGGTTCTCTCTGGAATGTTCTCTGCCTGCCTGTCCTCATCTTTATATAGATCCCATTCTTCAGAAGGCAAGTTAAATAGCACATCGTGGGAAAGCCTAACTATCCTGCCCTCAATCTACCGTAGATTCTTTTGTTCTAATTTTTTACAGAATCCTATTCATTCTTCTTTTAGAAGATTTATCCTACTTTGTAATCATAATTTTAACTCTTATTGTGGATATCTGATTTGTGTCCACCTCTTTCACATGACTATAAATTCTAGAAAGACCAGGGACTATGTTCATTTTTTTCTCCCTTTTATGCCCCCACTGCCTAGCACAGTGTCTAGGATGGATGGATGGATGAATGTATAGATGGGTGGGTGGGTAGATGGATGGATGGATGGATGGATGGATGGATGGATGGATGGATGGATGGATGGATGGATGGATGGATGGATGGATGGATGGATGGATGGATGGATGGTTGGATGGATGGATGGATGGATGTATAGATGGGTGGGTGGGTGGATGGATGGATGGATGGATGGATGGATGGATGGATGGATGGATGAATGTATAGATGGGTGGATGGATGGATGGATGGATGGATGGATGGATGGATGGATGGATGGTTGGATGGATGGATGGATGAATGTATAGATGGGTGGATGGATGGTTGGATGGATGGATGGATGGATGGATGGATGGATGGATGGATGGATGGATGGATAGATGGGTGGGTGGATGGATGGATTGATGGTTGGATGGATGGATGGATGGATGGATGGATGGACAGATGGGTGAATGGATGGGTGGATATCTGGATGGCTAGTTGATGGCTGGCTGGCTGGCTGGATGGATGGATAGACTATCAATGGGGGCATGGGTGAACAGATGGGAGGATGGGTGAATCAAAAAGAGAAGAAGGAAACTGCAACGTGGTATTGGTGAATTCTATATAAAAACACATCTCCAAGTAGCTTTTCAAAAAAGTGGTTCTGCTTAATAATGAGAATAATAACACATAGTCAGTGTCCACTTAAATAGTCAAGTTCCACAAAAGATGCGATGAATTGAGAATCGACTTTGGCACAATTTAATGTATGTAATAAGATGAGTTTGATTAGAAATACCACTAGATTGAAAGCCAGAGACCTCAGTTATGTTTCTGGGCCTGTGATTTTGGCCCACATCACACAACCTCCATGTTTTATGGCATTATCTGTAAAAGTAGAGGTGTAGCCTGGGGGTCTCTGAGTAGCTTTTAGGATTCTATAAATCTACTGATTACTGTGGACTTTCTCTTAAAAATATCCAGCTCCAAGAAAATGAGACGAAAAAAGAAAAAAAAATCCAGCTGCATGAAATTAATTTATTTTGTTAATATGTGTGTGTGTGTGTGTGTGTGTGTGTGTGTGTGTGTGTGTGTGTGTGTGTGTGTTAAAAATATCCAGCTCCAAGAAAATGAGACGAAAAAAGAAAAAAAAATCCAGCTGCATGAAATTAATTTATTTTGTTAATAAATGTGTGTGTGTGTGTGTGTGTGTGTGTGTGTGGTGTGTATACACAGACATGGTCTTCAAAAATTTTTTGGAAGGATTTGTATTAACTTTTAGTTCCATTTTTTTGCACAAACATTTTGAGGTGCAAATCCTTCCATGAACTTTTTGAAGACCGCTCATACATATATTCATATATACAAAATCACTTTAGCCAATATAATCAGGATTTTAAGATAGTTTAATTTATCCACATCTAGTACAATATTAAAGTTTGGGAACATCTTACCTCCTAGATGGCAAAAATAATTACTTACCAACTGTCAGAACAGGATTCTTATGTCCTGGCACTAATGAGGTCCCAGTGAATAAGCTTTTCTTCAGGAGGTAGAAGAAGGAGGAGGTAGTTTTGGAGGGAGGGGACTTTGGGCAAGGGCAGATTTCTAAGACAAAGGATTTTGGAATAGTGAAGAAATGAGAGCTGCTAAGAGCTTATCTTACTTGGCAACGTTGCCTAGGGACCTGAGAACAGATGCCGTGCTCCTGAAAATCTCCCCTGTGCTGCCAGCCTGGGTAAATTCTATGAAGGCCAGGAACTATGTTCATCCCAGCCCGGATGTCAGGACTTATTACACCTGCAATCCTCAGCCTTCCGTCTTAACTGAGTCTCCCTGGTCCTTCCCCTCCAAACCCAATCTTCTTCAATACGACATTTATTCCACCCCTCACCACCGTCCTGCTCCCACTTCATCTAGGAGGAGGAGGAAAGGGGAGAAAGGATGAAAAGCATCATAGAGACAAAATATAAAAATAAAAGATATGCCTCTGCCAGTTTTATCAATGGGGAAAAAAGGTCCAATTCACCCTGTTACTGGCTTTCCTTTTCTTGGTAGTTACCTTTCCCTTCACTACATTTACTTAATATTTAAGCCTCCTTTTCCAGAGACTACATTCCACTTGAACTTCTTCCCTCCTTTCCATAGTTCTTAATCCCGGCTATGCACCAGAATGGTCTGGAGAGCTTTCTAGACATCCTGAGGTCTCATGCAGTAAGTCTGTGGTGGGAGGGGGAAGTACAGAGCTCTGTATTTTTAAACTACATCCTAAAGTCTAACCTCTATCTAGGGCTGAGAATTGCTGCCTCAGTATGTCAAGGGTCTCCTGAATATTTTATTATAGCCAGAATGCAGGAAAGGCTGGCAGAATAGAAAGTAGTGAAAGGAGAAAGCAGAAATGGCATTGGAGGAAAATAATCAATGAGAAAGAGAAAAGGTAAGAAGGTGCATATAGACTCATAGGAAGATTCAGGAATGCCAAGGGCTACAGCATGAGGGAGGCCTGGAGTGGCACCTTGCTTAAGTCCTGTGAGCGGAATCAGGTTCTTCTGAACCCTAGCCCATTGCTTTTGAACCTAGAGAGCTTTGAAGGGTAAACTAAGCTCTAATCAGATTCCAGGTCCAGTGGGGCATTGGGGTGGAGAGAGTTGAGTGCCAGGTGGTTCTACCTTGGGAGCTCGGGCTCTGGAAATCTTAAGAGTTTTGGTCCCTCCTGTTCTGCCCTTGGTGCTGGGGTCACAGCCGGACCACCTGAGATCTTTGGGGCAGGAAGGTCTGCTGAGTTAGCAGGGTTATGAACAAATGGGGCCATGGCAGCTGTGTCCCTGGTGTAAGCAGTCACATCACGCAAGGCTCAAGACCACAGCAGGTGGTGCCTTCCCTGAGAGTGACAGCTCAGGCAGGGACTGCTGCCTGGACTAGCCTGGAGCAAACTAGCCAGGTCCCCCAGGAGATCACTACAGTGCATGCATGCATGTGAAGAACAGAAGCAGGAACATGGAACAAACTGAAAAGCCTTGAAAAAATGATCTGCACATAAGTTAGCTGAATATTAGAATATGCAATAGCAAACATGCCTTGACTTCATTCTGCAGTCCGAAGGTAAAATATGACTAATGAGTTAAAGTTTGAAGGCTTTCTTTCTTAAACAGCATTTAGAATCTACAAACATAAAAATCTAAATGATTTTGATTTAAAGGAAACAAATGTCTTGACTTTCCATTGGCAGGTGGTATATGTTGAGAAAGTTTTCCATTAAAGGTGCTGGAGTTCTATGAACCCACTTGCATGATCTTCTGTCCTCTTGTGGACAGAGGTGGATATTTCTGCCAGTGGCCTGGGGCAGAACTTCATGGCATCAAAACAGAGCAGGTGGAGATGACAGCTGTGCGCCCATCTCATCTAAACAACACCCATCCTAGACTGTGCCATGACTGAGATATCTCAATTTTTGATGAACTTACAATTGGCCTAGGCTTGTCTGCAAAGTCATAAAACTTTTGAGAATGACCTCGAGCATCTAAGAAAGGAAATTTGAAGGGATGGCACCCCCTGCTGGTAAATTTTATCATCACCAGAATTTAATTAATATCTGAGAGCCAAAGAAAGGTGAGCATGGTTAACATGAGACATTCACGCAAAGTTGGGATTCCTTCCAGCAGGTCTTCTGACTGCTCCAGAGCTTCACCTCATCCTTGTTAATTTGGCCTGGTCTACTGTTAATCTTTAGGCCTTCACCACCTCCTTTTCTCTGCTCTGAAGTAAGTATCATTGAGTAAAACTATGTGATCTAATGACTTGGGATGTCTGACTTCCACTGCCTGGACTTTTCCACTCTTCTAGGTAAGAACAAATGCCATCATTTCTTATCACTCCATTTATAGATTACTTCTTTTCTGAAATTCACTTTTCAGGGAACTCTCCTACTTTGAGAAAAAGAACTTCCATGGAAATTTCTAGTCTAGATATTAGAACAACAAAGACTTTTTTATTCGGGGGGGAGGGGATGTAAATATACTTTTGTTAGATCCTGAAATCCTCCAATACATCTTAGTATCATGTCTTATAGTCCAAATCCTGTGGGAAACCTCACTACCATTACGTTCAGGGGAATGGCAAGCTTCCTCTTCAGGGTCTCCTCCTCTTTGGTTAACTTCCTCCTCCAGGAATATTTTGTGGTGCCCTTGGCTGTCCTAGGATCCCAGTGATGACACCCACCCTCTTCCATGCTCTGTGAGCCTCCGTCTGTTGTCCCCCCAGTTTTTTCCTCTGATGTTCACTCCCACCAGATTTTAAAACATCTGCAGTGGCCCCTGTCTCCCTTCTTAGAAGCTATAAAAATATGTAACATAAACAATAACCAAAATGAATCAGACTATTGAAAATCTTTCTTTCTTTTCAGATATGCAGACTTACTCAATGGGAGGACATTAATGGTATAAAATTCAAGCAAAAACTAGCCTATTTTGGCATAGAAATTCTCACACACAAAGCGGTCCACTTACTTGAAATCATCTGTAAGTTTTGTAAAGTTTTTCGGATATTTCAGCATCTCCACGACGATATCTGAGGCTTCTTTCACTACTTTAGGGCATTCTCTGTTATGAGCGGCCAGAGACCTTTGAACTACTTCAAGGTACTCTAAGAATATGAAAAAATAATAAGAACTGCATTTAGTGTGATTTAATTGTATTCATGTATAGAATGCGATTCCTTTGTTTGCATTCTCTCTCCCTTATAATATGGCAAATCTAACAAACTGCAAAATTAAAGATTTTTCCAGGATGCCAAGAAAAGTCGCTAGCAAACAGAGACATATTCAAACTTACATTCTGCAAATCCTGATTTATTGATCAACTGAGACATAGCTTTACTCTTTAAAAGAGAGAGAAATGCCCCAATTTTCCAGCTTTCAGAATCATTAAAATAGGCAAGGTTATATCAGGTTACAAAATCCTTAACTAGAATGATGATTGAATACTTGCTTTCCTCTGGCAAGTTCAAATATTAAAGCAAATTTTACCCAGAATGTGTCTTTGGGTTTCTGTGGTTGTTTTATAGCTTTTTTGCGAGGAAACTTTAACTGAATAAAAGTTTTACGGCAAGTTCAAATATTAAAGCAAATTTTACCCAGAATGTGTCTCTGGGTTTCTGTGGTTGTTTTATAGCTTTTTTGCGAGGAAACTTTAACTGAATAAAAGTTTTATCTCACTCCTTTTAACTGGAGCATGCATGCAGAGGCCCAAAATGCCAATCAACAGTATGTATCCACAGGGGAAAAATCATACGGACATTTACTAGAAATGATTTATTGTCAATTCAGATAGTAAGAAGGAGAGTTGAAAGGGAACTTTGAAATAGAAAACATTGCCCTTTAAAAATAAAATCTTTTCCTTTACTTCTTTGGAAATAGCTAAATCATGGATTCTTACACTATCAAATCAACAGCTAAGACTTAATCTACCATTTCCACCCATTAAGAAACTATCATTAATTAGATATCTGTAAATACGGATAGATAACAACTACCAACTGCGAGTATCTTAGGAATCTCTTTTAGGATTGTGTCAAGAGAATCTTAGGATTTTCTTGGGGGTGGGGTGGGCATTGACCCAACTCAAGTTGGGTACTTGGTCCACTTGTTAAAGTAATTCATTCGCTTACAGAAACTTTTTATTATTACATGTATACTCACCATAAAAGTCAATTTTGGCTTGGATTGGTGCACTGCTGCCCAAGGCTGCCGCAAATAGGTTGGGGTATTTTACCCTCAACCACACTGCAAGACACCCGCCGTAAGAGCCACCAAACACAACCCATGAATTGCTGGTGAGATTCATTTCCTCTGCAATGACGGTTCGGAAGTTGACGGTGTCTGCCAAGGCTTGCCTGCTGCTGAGGTAGTAAAGGCTGGAAGTGCTCAGGTTTCTACAGATAAAGCAAAACACACTCTGCTTATGCAAACAGGACAATCAGCTTGGCCATAAAATAAAAATGTATATTTAAAAAGTATGTTTATACCACGTCCAACTTGAAATTTTAATTGGGATAATCTGGATGGCTGTGGCACATAAATGCAGGAACCAGCAATAATTGCTAGTAGTTCTGCAGTTTCACTGTGATTATGTCATTTTCTCTTGTCACCCTGTGAAAGAGTTTCAAGTGCCTGTCCCCACCTATATGATTACTTTTTCTCATACACTGAACCATCAAATAATCACCCTCACTCGGAGAATAGTCCATTTTTGAAAGGACTAAAATGTCAGTGATTTAAGTCTTTCCAGGGAATTAAGAAAACCTATAGGTAATTATATTTGATGCTACTTTGCGATCTTCTCGGCTTAACTGCTGCATCACGCAAGGCAACATTTGAGTCTAAGTTTCCTTGGTTATAAGAAAACTAAATAAAATTTGCTATTTAATTACTTTTCAATGGTGTTTCTTTCATAAATATGTTTCCCATAAATATAAGATTTTTTTAAAATTCTAATTACTGTAAAGAAAAATCTTTCTCTTCCCAATACACTCAGTTCAAACTGAGAATACTATAACTAGCTAAATATTAATTTAAAAGTAGACAAAGGATATACAATATTCACAAAAGTGAAACACAAATGGCCAGCAAATATATGAAAAAGTTTAGCTCTTTTTTATTATCCAAGTAATGCAAATATAAATGAGATATGTTTTTCCTCCTGGCAGTTTATTTTGGATGATGGGACTCAGTGTTGGTATGAAAGCGATGAGGCAGCTCTCTCATGCACCACTTGTGGAAGTATTAGGAGGAGGAGCCTTTCTGAAGGCAGTTTGTCTTCATAGAACAAGGGCTTCAGAAGGCAAAAATTACAGCTTAGCTTGGGAATTCCACTGCTGAGAAGAGAACCCATAGCAGAACTTGCTAATTTCCCCTTAATATCCATTCTTTTATCTTTAAGCAATAAACCCCTGAATTTTAGCTGAGCACATGGCTACCCAGAATAAACACTACATATCCTGGCCAACATTACAACCAGATGTAGACTAAATGATTGAGTTCAAGCCAATAGGATGTAACTAGAAATATTATGTGCAAGCTCCCAAGAAATGTCATTGAATGACAGCTGGAGTGAGTCTTTTCTCCCCTGCTTTATTGCTGCTTGGGATATGAATAAATGGATGGGCTGCATCTCGGACCATAAAGGTGAAGTCCTCACCCTATTCATGTCAGATCAGAAAACTGGAAGTGGCCTGAGTACCAGGTGACTGTGGTCAAGTCACAATGTCACTCACCATACTCACCATACTATGGACCATATAAATCTAGAACTTTATGTTACAAAGAAATAAACACCTATCGTTGTGCCACTGCTATTTTGGTTTTCTGTTGCACACAACCAACATGAAATACATCCTAAAAAAATTAATTCACTAAAATTTCATATTCAAGGATATGTATATTCACAATTGTGAAGAGCAGATAAAAAACCTTTGTGTTAAATACAAAGAATGATCACATAAATTACATCATGTCTGTTTAATGCAGTATACTTTTCAATCACTGAATCATCAGAATCCTAGTTTTAAGAATACTTATTAACATGGGAAATGCACTTGACAGATGTTAATTAGGGAAATGGAGCAAAATACAAGTATACATACCTTTTAATTTTAACTGAAAAATATGATATATAGGTAGATACTTACTTCTCATTTAGCAATATGTAACCAATACATTTTCTATTTCTCATCTATTTTTCTCCTTTCCTTTCTTGCCTTCTTTTAAGTAGATCAACTTTCTGTTTAAAATCATTCTGTTGTTTTCCTCTACGAGTTTGGACGCTGTGCATTCTTTGCTTATCTTTTTACTGGTTACCCAAAGTTACAACATGTGGTTTAATATGTCAATGTCTACCGTTAACACCTTTGTTCCTTACAAAATATAAAGACTTTCAAAAAAAACTTAACTCTACTTATCCCCTTCCAACTTATGCATTATTATGAAATCATATTATACTTCATCATCATTATTACATTCCACAATTATTTTAGTTCACTTTTATTCTTCACATATTATTGCATCTCAAATCTTCCATATAGAATCACTTTCATTCTGATTGAAGTGAAAATAGTTTGTAATTTCTTTAGTGAAGGTCTACTTGTGGAAAACTGTATTTGTTTCAAATGCTTTCATTTAAAAGATATATCAGATAACATTCTTTTGATTTCCAGTGTCAGTGTTTGAAAGTTGACTACAATTCTCTAAATACTGGCCCTTTGAAGATAATCTATCTTGTTTTCTCTTTTTCTTTGATTTTCTGAAGTTATGTCTATTATATGTCTAGCATGGTTTTATTTTTTTATCCTGCCTGAGATTTGTTGGAATCTTCAAATATGTAGATTCATATTACCTTATTAATTTTGGAAAATTCTGAGCCCTTATCTCTTCAGATACTAGATTCTACTCATTCTTTCTTATTTCTCCTTCTGAAACTCCAAAAAAACAAATGCTAAACATTTATCAGTAATCTGCCATTAGTATTTTCCTGTTTTTTACCCTCCACGTTGCATTGTGAATTATTTATACTGAGGTTATAACTTTGTTTATTGTATTTATTTTATTTGCACAGTCCTGTTTGTTTCTTATTCATATCTGCTGTCATTTTTCTTACTTTTCTGTTCTATTTAGATATATTTTAGCCTGTTTTTTTAAACAGGGTAACTAGAATTGATACATAGTCTGTGTTGATAATTCCAATTTATGAAATCTTTTTTCAGTAGATCTGTTTCTATTGTCTGTTTTTTTGTTTTTGTTTTTGTTGGTTTTCACTCACAAGGTCTTGATTCTCATGTAAATCGCTATTTTTCTCTGTGCAGTGGTCAAACAGGGTAACTAGAATTGATACATAGTCTGTGTTGATAATCCCAATTTATGAAATCTTTTTTCAGTAGATCTGTTTCTATTGTCTGTTTTTTTGTTTTTGTTTTTGCTGGTTTTCACTCACAAGGTCTTGATTCTCATGTAAATCGCTATTTTTCTCTGTGCAGTGGTCATTTACTTGACAAGTCATTTGTAAAAATAACTTAAAACTAGGATACAGATACTTTGTTCCAGAGACAAATTTGTCTCTTCCAGACACGTGAGGCACAGGCACTCTGGGACCACCTTATACAAGTCCATAGCTCCAGAGATTCCTTTGACCATCTGGATGATAGAGACCCAAGAGAGCTTGTTTGCTTCAGAGTCATTGATTCTTCTTTGCTTATTGTGAGGAAGTCTTTCCTTACACTTCCAGTTTTATGCAAGACCCGGGTTTTAAATTGTCTTTACCTTTGAGACTCTAGAAGATCAAATGGCTCAGAATTGAAAATACCTTCAGGGAGAAAGCAGTCTCTCTGTCTCCCAGCTTTGAGTTTCATTCTCCATTCAATTTTAGCTTCACGATTTTTCACTACTTTATAACCTCTTTGATGTTTTTAAGGTGTTTTTCAATCCTTTCTCCTGCATTTGGAGAAAGCCTTTGTCCAAATAACATAGCCCACCATCTACCTATCATCCGTCTGTGTATTGATCTAAACACAGAGAAAGATTTTAAGAGAGTAAACAAGCACTTTTAGTAACAATTGCCTCTGGTAGGTCAGAAGGAATACGTTACCGTTATTGTCTGTTTATTCTCAGTGTAGGTTTAAGCCTTTCCTTGCTAGAGAGCTATAAACCCTTACTTCAGGGAAAAAAAATATATTTGATTTTGTTTTCCACCCTAAGAAATTTCTATTTATTTCTTTAGTAACAGAGACACTTGTTTTACTGGTACTCTTATCAAGAAGCTCTGTAAGGTTTGCCTTTTCCCAGAAACTTTACTCGTCACTCACAGCCCTCAGGGGGGAAAAAAAAAAAAAATAGAACTAATGGAATTCAAAACAAAAATTAGCAAAGCTCTTAGAAATCCTTGAACCCCCATGGCCTAAAGTTACCTTCAGTTTTAATATCTATATGGTCGATCCCTTCAAACCCACAGATTATCTCTCTACTAACAGCAACCTACTGCATGAAATTTAGAAATTTCACTCCAATCTTACATTCTACCTTATTATAATTAAATATGATTAATTATTGCAAAGCAGTCATATGATACGTTCAGCTTCATAAGCAAGAGGTCTGAGGGACATTTCCTAACCACCCGTCTAAAATCACCGCGTGATCTACGATCTGGAGATTTAGTTCCCTGAAAATGACACCACAGAAAAACTGCCCTTGAGTCTTCATGGAAAGAACCTTATCAGGCACCATCAACAACTGACAAAACAGTAAAACTCCTAAATATGAAATTCTTAGATTAGTGTTCCTCAGCTCAGAAAATACACATTCCTTCCTCCTGACTACTTGACGACGTTCATTCCATCTGGAAATTTTAAACTGAGGATGTTTAGGAATCTTCCAGGAGACACTGAATTCAGAGCTGGACAGCTTTTGCCCAAGACAATTGGAACATCAGCTTCTGCCCAAAATGGAACAAGATTAATTTCCTAACTCCTCAACACCTTTTCCTGCCTATTGTTCCACCTTACTGCACTTTAAAACACTAATACAATTTTTCTTACCTTCATCCTCTTTATTTCTGACATTCTGTGGTCTTCTTCCACCACTTTAGGAAAAACCAAACTCTCTTATACACTTTTCCTAGATCATAGCTACCACTTTGAATTTAATAGCTTGCTGGTTCTGTCACCACTTACCTGATGCCACTGACAAAATTGAATAACTGATCCTTTGCATAGTTCAGAAGGCAAATTCCCTTTAATAGGCCCTTTCTGATATGTAAGTTTCTGCAATGTCATTAATCCCAACCTTCAGTCTTGCAAATATTGGACCTTGAACTCATATTTACAAAATGTCTTGTTGATATCATCACAATCTTATCAGCAATACCCAGTCGTTCAGGAAGAGGCACTAATGCTGGGACTATTTTGGTTGCAATAGTCAGTTAGTCCTCTTCAGAGACACTTCAGCCCGCTTTGCAGGAACTGTTTAATTCTGCACAAGGATTTGTCCAACTCGAGGGACGCAAATATTGGCATCCACCTTTGTAATACATTATACTTGTACTCCCAGCACAATTATGCTCCAAATAGGAATTTTATACCTGGCTACCACACCCTAATGCAGCCTGTGTATTTGTAGTCATTGTCAGAGATTACAAGATATTTAAAAGTACCGGCCCTCCAGGAAAACATATTTCCTTAAAAATAAATAAGAAGCTTCCAAAATAAAGCAAGCACAGGTTACCTAAAAAAAATTCCAGGAGGGATAATAGGTTCGTTATGCATGCATACTCTATAGCTACAATTCCCACAGTAGGAATAATACAATTAGAGAAGGTGATCAGAATTTGTCTCTAATCTTAGCAGAAGACATAGATCATACCATTTCTGCTCTGAAAGCCCGAGAAACTAGTCTAAATCAATTAACCACAATTGTCACAGACAGTTGTATATCCCTTGATTTCCTCTTAGCAAGCCAGTGGGGATTTTGTGCCATAGAGAATACTACAGGTCAGATAGAACAATCTGTAATCCGGATTATTTTCTAAATAAAAAAACAAATAAACAAAACAAAAAAGCCACCTGGCTCTCTAAAACAGGCCCAGCTAGATTCTGGGATATGTTTTTCTTGCCTAGGCTTTGTAATCTAGGCTGTTGGTTTCAAGATCTATTACAAAGACTAACAGTATTACGTTTCTGAATATTTACTATGCTCCTTTGGCTAATATATTCTGTGCAGAGCCTTAAGGCTACAATTTATCCTACACCAGAAGGAAAGGCTAACCCTGGATCACTAGATTGAGCTCAGTGTGCACTTTTCTAATGTTAATCAACAAAACTTGGGAATGGTGAAAAAAAATATGGATATCATAGACTAATGTCCTGTGGTGTTATTTTATCTGTCTTTGGCCAAAAGAGGGAATGAGAAATTAGAAGGAAAAAAAAAAAAAAAACTGCCTGACATTTAGAAGCTGGTCTGGCACTCACAGCTAGTCCATGCAATCTCCTAGGTGAATAATCTCCTAAACCATCTCACAGAAATCCAACTTCCGACAAGGTTAGTCTGAGACCATGATGAAATGAGACTAAGCAAACCCACTTCATGATTTTGTCAAAGCACAGACAAAAACAGGGACGTCATGTCAACTACAAAATACCAAACACACCCACTTTGGGTCAAAATGAGCAAGTGCTATTTCTCCCCACCATACAGATAAGATTTATCAAGATACAATCATAGAATTCCTCCCCCGCTCTACTTTCTAACAGCATCTGACCTAGAGCAAATTCCCACTTCCTTAGACACTCTGCCACGTTATTCCATCAAAGCCTAAATTCTATCGCAGGTTCTTTCTAACACCTTTTCACTGATACACCCCTAGTTCCTCACAGTGTGTGTTCTCCTATGCTGCAAGGAGTAATAAACTTATTTCCAGGTGTATTCCTGGTAGTCTTTTGCTGAAGGGCATTGACAAATATGGCATCTAATTTGTTTTTCCAAATACACTGATTTTTAAAAAAATAATAAAACTGTTCATGTCCAGCATAACACAGAAAACCCTATCACAATTTCAGAGATGGATAGGTAAGAAAGGTCTTTAATAGATGGGTGGGGGCTGGTGAGGTGGTAGATACAATGCTCATAGCTCAGTCAAATTGACACATACAATTTCACAGCCAGTGGTAAGGAGGCATTACTTCTCTGTCTGCTGTTCTCAGAAAAGATTACAGAGGATCAGTGCATAACCTAAATGAAAACTTCTCAAAAAGACTCTTTTTTCATTCCCCGGTTCTTATGCCTATGCTTGGAAACCTTATATAAGACAAATCCTTAACTCTCTCCTACATCCCAAACCCAAGGGCCTCTTTTCCTTCTATCCCCATCTTTTACTATGTAAATTAATTTAGCCTCTTTCTCAGCAAAATGGAAGTCTTCCACATACATTAGCGTCAAGGGGTCAGGAAAAAAGAGCCAGACAAATGAAGGATTTCCTTTAGCAGATGGGGAAAGAAGCCTTGCTCAGAACATTCAGAAGTTAATCATTATTGCCCCCTCCCAAACAACTGATTAAAGAAGAATCAAATCAAGAGGTTTAAGTCTGACAAGAGTTTCCAACCTCATGAAGACAATTTGTCAAGAAAACTACTTTAATCTCATTCAACACGGGTTATTCCATGTTTGAAAATAATTTCATTTCCTTAGAGAAATTAATGAAAAAAGCCCAGATTTAAGACTATTTATAGAATATCAAATAGTATTAACACCCACACACAAATCCAAGTTTCTAATGAAGAAATGTAGAAGTGATGGAATTAGTGGAATGTCACCTCTCCAATGGTTAAGTGACTTTGAATCCAAAGTCACATTTGCGGAGTCACAGCTCCACAAAGAAAGAGGTTGGTGGAAACTTGAGTAATTATTGGTCTGTCATGATAAACGGTACCAAAAATTATGACTCACATAATAAAGGTATCACTTCATTGACCCTAATCGCATTTCAGGGTTGTAAAAACCAATTCTTACTTCTTATTTAAATGACAATAAAAGACTTTGACATTACATTGGATTTTTCTTAACCTTCAGAGGCACTTTTTAAACTTCGTTCTATCTGCTTGACTTCAGGCAATGAGTAGCTTATAATTATAAGCAAGTAAACTAAATATATATCTTTCGACTGACAAAAACAAAAATGTAAAGAGCAAGACTAAGCTATTCAGGCAAAAATAGACCTCACAGTCTTCCTTCTTACTCTGCCACTGCAGCCTGAATTTAGTAAGACATCCTGTTACTATGACAAGTTGTTTAAACAAAAGTGCCACCCCTACATCTATGAGCAGAGCAATTTTTATGGTTTGAAATTCCATTGGAACAGAAAAAAATTAACAGGTATATCACTTTGCTGAAATACGTTCAGGAAAATTCATGAAATTATAGTACATGAGGAATGCATTCTACTGAAAAGAAACTTCATATGAATGTATTTTATCAAGAAACTTATCCTATCCTCATCTTCCACCTACTGTAAATAAGGAGCATATTTAGAGTTAAAAGTGCATGAAAAATGGATGAGCTTGGAGAAAATTATGTTAAGTACATTCTACTGAAAAGAAACTTCGTATGAATGTATTTTATCAAGAAACTTATCCTATCCTCATCTTCCACCTACTGTAAATAAGAGCATATTTAGAGTTAAAAGTGCATGAAAAATGGATGAGCTTGGAGAAAATTATGTTAAGTGAAATAAGCCAGGCACAAAGGGAGATAAGAAAGAAAGAAGGAAGGAAAGACAGACCACAGTGATGCGTTGGACTTGCAGAGGGAGAGAACAGACCTAGGGTTGCCGGGGTGGAGGGGGTAGGGAGGTTGGGGAGAGGTCAGGTGGGGGACATGGGAAGTAATTGCAATTTCTGGTAATGGACTTGCTGACAGTATTGATCTGGTATCACATCTTGGGCATAGACGTTGATGGTCAACTTTGTGCCCCATGAATATGCATAATCAATAAAAAAAAAGTTCATGAAAGAGAGGGAGAGATTATCAATAGCAACAAGAAAAGCTACAAAACAGAAACCCTTAAACTTACCCTGTTGGTTGGCTGTGTCCATAAAATCTGTGTTCCAGAAGTAAGCAGAGGGCTCCGAGTCTCTTAGCATACGTCACCCAGGTAGCAGTGGGTAACATCCAGTTTCTACTGGCAGCTGTCTCTCCTTCAATCATCAGAAACACTGGGCCTCCAGGTTTATAGAAGTCACTATTAATGAAATATCTCTGTAAAACAAAAAGCATTCTCGTAGGTCACTACCTCACCAAACCCTGGGATTTGTTTTTGTTTTCTGATAACTGGGTGGCAGGCAGCACAACTGGGTTTGTCAGAACAAAGATTTGGTTGAAGCGGGTTTCCTGTGCACTGGTTACCAGTTTGTCTGAGTCCAGTGAGATGGAACACATGCACATGGAACAAATTACATGGAGCGGGTTGATTACTTACAGATAGCGGCAAGGAACAGAAGCCTAGGATTCATTGTGAGCCTGTCCCCAGGGCTCAGAAAAGCAGCCTAGGGAGGATGGAGTCTCATTTGTGTGTGTACCCCCTGCACCACAGCTCAGGAACCCCAAAAGGTTATATACTCAGGGGCCACATGACATGCTGGGCTAAAGCCTGGAAGGACATCCTGTTGCTAGAGGGAAGAGGAACAGAGCCCAGGCTGTTCTGGCCAGTACTTCTCCTATCTCAGAATGCTACATTCTGAACATATTCTACAGCTATTCTTGAGAACTACACAAGATAAGGGGAGAACAGGGTGAGCCTAAAGCCACCTGGAGGACTGTCCTGCGGGTTACAAGATCCCATCTAAATCAGTGACATTGCACAAGCTACTGAGCTTATGCACTGGATGAATTTATTTTTTGCTTTTTAATTTGTTTGATTTCATATTTATGCCTATTTTCTTTTCCTCTGAAAGGTTTGGTTCCTAAAAATATTAACACTTATTTGCTGTATCCCAATAATACATGATATCTATATACACATTAGAATAAAAATGCTAATATTAAGATTATGATTACTGAAAACTTTTGTTTTTTTATAGTCGTGCATGTGTGTTCTTGTGTGTGTGTCGTAGGATTTATTCCATAAGAGATATAAAGTCAAAGTACTGTTCTTTCAATTCATTTCAAATCATTTTCTCTGGTTAAGTCGCATACTGAACAGACAATTAACGTTATTTGTTTCATTTTATTTTCAACTTTTAATTGTTTTACGACTATGCAGAAGCATTACATGGTTCTAAAGTTCAACCTGCAAAACCAAGTACATTCAGAAAACTGATATCATTTCTGTTTCCTAAACCATTTGCCTCCTGCCCATTATTTGTAACCATTTGCATTAATTTTTATTTATCCCTTTTTGTTACTTTTTATAGAAAAAATAAGCAAATACAAATATTTTATTTTTCTGCCTTTCCTTAGATAAGGTGTCATTCTGCACTTTACTGTTTTCATATAATGATATATATTGGAGATCAGTACATAGCAATATATAAAGAAGTGAAGATGTTCCTCATTCCTTTTTACAGATGCATGGTATTTTCTAGTGTGCATGTACCGTAATTAATTCAACAGTATTCTGTCAATGAACATTTGTCTCATTTTCCATCGCATAGCAATATATAAAGAAGTGAAGATGTTCCTCATTCCTTTTTACAGATGCATGGTATTTTCTAGCGTGCATGTACCGTAATTAATTCAACAGTATTCTGTCAATGAACATTTGTCTCATTTTCCATCTTTTCCTATTCTAAATGGTGCTGCAATAAATAACTTGTACATAAAATCTTTCATATTTTTGCTACTGCATCATTAAGACAAATTCCTGAAAGTGGATTTAATTTTGATAAATATTGCCAAATTCCCCTCTAAAGAGGTTGTACCATTGTTTACTTTTACCAGCTATGTATAAGAGTGCCTGTGTACCAAAAGACTATGTTATAAAAATGGTACTGGAAAGCAGTTGATAATTGTGACCAAAGATTTTTCTCAAGAATTCAAAGAACTTAATGACAAATCACCTTTATAAAAAAGAGATCGGGGCACAGATTAAAATGTTCAAAAAAGAAAAAAATGACAGAAAGAAATAAAAACTAAAGTGGCCATGCTCAAAAGATTAGCAGAAGGAAAAATAAACTCATCATGGAAATAAAGCTTATTCACAAATGTGAAGAATCAGAAGACAGGCTGGAGAAGAATTAGTAAAAATAAACATAAAGGTGTTTGTTTGAAAGAATTATAGAGAGAAGCAAAACTGTGGAAAACAGACAAAGGACATTCAACACACACATAAATTGTAATTTTGAAGGAAAAAAATGAAATCCTTCAAGCATTGAGGTGAAAAATCCCCTGGTCAGCCGAACCCAGCCTCCTCCACAGCAACATGCCGTGCTGGAAGAGAGTTCAGCAATGCATAGGAACGAGAGGAGGAAAACACCCAAGAATTACATGCCTGGGCAAACAGACAATAGACAAGCACTGAAACTCATGAAATAGAATTTCTGCAAGCCCTTTTTAAGATGATAAGTGGGATGAATCTATTTACATCTAAAACTAAGCCTAAAACAACCTTGACTTTGTGGTTATCAAATAGAATATTAATGTCATAAAATAGAAAAAATTTGAAACAACAGCATCACTAACAAAACTAGGGAAGTAAAGAGGGAGAGAAAGTGGAAAGTTACAGTGAAAATAGACAAAGGGCTTCATCTTCTATAAAGTCATACATTCAAGCAGTAAGAATAAGAGTATAATCAGTCAAATCAGGCTTATTAAAATATTTTGCTTTATAGATTTGACTTTACAACCATGTAAATACTATAGATAATTATAAAACAAAATTAGATTTTACAAAACCAGTTCTTAAACATTTTTTTTTAAAAAAGGAATAAATGGACACAAATGATATCTGGTTGGTGACAAAATCACACAGAGAGAAATAATTCTGAGTGGCCATAAAACTGGTCATTTGTACATCTTTAGTGGAATCTGCCCTGTGGAAAAACAAAACTGCAAAGAAAATTCATTAACATTTTTTACTAATTATGTTACTGGCGACAGTGTTGGTACTATTATTACGAGACTGCTGTGCAATATAAAGTGAAGCAGGTGAGTGTTGATGCAATATTCTAAAGCTGTTATTCTCAGAGTCCTTTTATGATCTGGTAAACAGAGGGCATGAGTCAAACATTTACCCTGTTTTTCCCTCACAAACTGCCACCAAGTAATTAAATAATAGATAATGGGGAGTCTCTTTTTAATAGGAATATTCCAGCTAATAAATGAAGGAAAAGAATAAAATTAGAATATCTTTTGCAATTTCCAATGAATTAATAGATCTAGGTAATTGATATCAATAGTTTCTACCATCTTAAAGATGAGACACTCCAACAGGACGTGTCTCTTTGGGGAAGACCATGCATGCCACTATCTATGAAGCAGTCTTGCTGCCACTCCCAAAACCTGAATATGATTAATCCCTTGGATAGATCCCACCACGGCCACTCCCCCAAAACCTGAATATGATTAATCCCTTAGATAAATCCAACAACCAATTTATAGAAATATAGACACCTGGTATGTTAACCTATGACACATAACCTATGACAATCAATCAAATCCAGACTTTGCAAATCTCTATAGGACAAACTACCCAGTGTCTTCAAAAAGCAAATTGCAAGAGGCAGGAAAGAGAGATAGAGAGTTGAAGGGGGATCGTGAGCCTATAGATTAGAAAAGACTTAAAACATATAGCAACCCATCAAAGTATGTGCACCTTATTTGAATCCTGATTTAAATAAAACTGTTATGTTATTTAAGATATAATTAGAAAATTTAATATCAACTAAATAGCTCAGCCTTACTCACTTCCCTTCACATGTGTGGCTTCATTAAGTGAATGACCATAATTTTTTATTCAGTCTCCAAGGTATGAGATTCATGCTGTTTCCATTATTTTGCTATTGCAAGTAATGCCACAATCAATGTTATGTTTGTTTTTTTTTTTTTTTCCTGTGATAGTGGAGATATATATTCAGGGTAAATTTCTCTAAATAGGACATTATGTTTGGTTTTGTTTTTTTTTTTTTCCTGTGATAGTGGAGATATATATTCAGGGTAAATTTCTCTAAATAGGACATCTGGTTAAAGGATATTCATGGACCTTTGAAAAGAAGGTGAATTCTTACTTTTCAGTGTTTGGAGATTGATACATTAATTAGACCTACTTTGTTATTATGCAATTTAAGCCTTCTATGTCTTTTGTTTATTTGTTTGTTTATTCAATGTGTCATGATCTGAAAGAGGCGTATTAGTCTCCTTTTGCTGTTAGTGTCTTTTGTTTGTTTGTTTATTCAATGTGTCATGATCTGAAAGAGGCGTATTAGTCTCCTTTTGCTGTTACTTCTGCGTTTTCTGTAGACCTTTCTCTGCATTTTGATTCCATTTTGTTTAGTGCACAACTATTAGAAAACAACCAGGCAGTACTCCTTGAAACTGTGTATGCACCCATCCTAGGACACAGCAATTCCAGTCCTAAGTGCAAGTGCATCCCTAAAAACTACCTCACGGGTACCAAAGGAGAGGTAAACTAGTAAACTGGGCAAAGCATTGCTTCAGGTAGCAAGGAGCTAGACAATACAGGTATCCATCCAAATGTGAACTGTAAACAGAACAGAATACTATGCAGTGGTTAGAAGGGATTAACCGGCTTCATGTTTAGCCATGTGCATAGACCTCAAAGATACAACACTGAGCAAAAAAGTAAGTACATTCATATTGCTGTGCAGCCCTCACCACCGTCCATCTCCAGAACCCTCTTCATCTTGCAAAACTGAAACTCTACCTATTAAGCAATAACTTTCCATTTTCCCCTCCTCCCAGCCCTTGCCAACCACCATTTTCCTTTCTATCTCTGCAAATCTGACTACATTAGGGACCTCATATAAATGGAATCATACGGTATTTGTCTTTTTGTGACTGGCTTATTTCACGTAGCTTAAAGTCCTCAAGGTTCTTACATGTTGTAGCATATGTCAGAATTTCCTCCTTTTCAAGGCTGAATAATATTCCATTGTATATATGTACCACATTTTATTTGCCCATTTGTCTATCAATGGACACTTGGCATGTTTCCACCTTTGGCTATAGTGAATAATGTTGTTCTGAACGTGGGTGTGCTTACTTGATTTTTAAATCATGGTATTTGGGCTTTTATGAGATGCTCCCAAGCAAATCCCCAAAAAACTGAAGGCCCTGATACTGGAAAGAACACAAAAGTGAATAAGTGTAACAGAATGGTTCTAGCTGTTAAATCCAAGAGACACACGTGGTAGTCTCCATATGTCTATGTATTCTAAATATTTCATAATCAAACAAAAAATGTAAAAAAAATGTTTAAACTCAAAATGATATAAAATGCTCAGCACAAAGCATAGGCATTTGGAAAACATTCCCTATCCCTTCTATACCTCCCAGACTTCCA